AACCACACATTCTTCAATAAAATAATATTTCCCTCACATCAATACTTTTTTCTTCTTTTTCAACCACACATTTCCCATCATATCACTATTCAAAATCAATTCTTCCCCCAAAAATCCCTACCAAATAGGCTCTAAATTTAAAACTTAATATTAAGTTTAAAGAGATATTCAAGTTTACATATAAGAAATAAATATTATATTTTTAATGATTTATTTCTATTTAAAAAACTGACATATAGAGTGTTTTTGAGACACATTCTTTTGAAAGAATGTATTATTGAATAGTAGATTGATGGAGAATGTGTGGTTAAAAATGAAGGAAAAGTTATTGATGCGATGGAAAATATTATTTTATTGAAGAATGTGTGGTTGAAAATGAGTAGAAGAATGAGAATGAAAAAAATAATGTGTACCAAACAGGGCCTATATTTNGGAAAATTCCAAGAAATTAATGAAAAATATTTAGAGTGCGTTTGGGACACATTCTTTTGAAAGAATGTATTATTGAATAGTAGATTGATGGAGAATGTGTGGTTGAAAATGAAGGAAAAGTTATTGATGCGATGGAAAATATTATTTTATTGAAGTATGTGTGGTTGAAAATGAGTAGAAGAATGAGAATGAAAAAAATAATGTGTAACAAATAGAACCATAATATGAGCTCGTGAAAATCTTACTGTAGCGTAAAGTATTTCGATTTTATATTCTATATTAAACTTCTATCGTAAATTGCAGGATCTTACTACATGTACATCAAAATTTATATAATGGATTACATTATGTCACGTGACACTATATCATTTGTCAGTTTAAAATACAATTAACTTTTTTATCCAATCTTTTCTCTCCACGTCATATTATATAATTCATTATACATATTTTTATGTACAAGTAACAAAATTCTAAATCATAACAGACCATTTGAGCTGAACTAAAAGGGTATCCCTTCAAGTGCAATGGAGGTTGTCAATATAAACCATGGACCTTTTTAATCGTCCACTAGCTTGTGAAATAATTTTGTACTTAAAACTTATAGAGTGGGAGAGAGAGGAGTTGATGGGATTATTGTTTTTTCTTTTTAGAATTTTTTAACATACCTAAAAGCATTTTTAAGGTAAAAAAAAAAAACTCTCCAATCTTCAAATAGCACGTGAGAGAGTGGAGAGTGTGTCAGCTAAGCATGTGAGTGCCGAATCCAAAAGAGTCGGTATTCAATGCCACGTGGAGAGAATCTAAGAGGGTTTCACCTTTCTATGATGCCTCCGACGATATTTTAGCTTCATAAGTAAATGCATTGCCGTGGGGTTGGGGGGCTGGGAGGGGTCGACCACGTGACAGGTAACGTGGAAGGGACATTACCCCTTCTCTTTTGCTAACTCTACCGTCCACACTATGAATAAATAATTAATAGTAGTAAAATTGAGGTGGAAAAAAGATTGTATTTGCAATGTCTATTTTGAAATTTTGTAAAAAATAAAAAATAAAGTTAGAAAATGGAAGAATATATCAAAATTAACATTACTTTTTGATTGTTGAAAATTTAGTAATTTTCTATTGAATTGGCTTGAACAAAAGTTGAAAACAGGGTAGAGGGATGAGGCAATATGCATTTTATACATTAGTAGACTTGTGAAATTAGGGAATCCTAGTCCTAGGTGGAGTGGATGAATTATCAAACCATTTTTCAATAAAGTTCGAGTATCTTATCTGTCAAAATGTTTTTTCGACATACCTTCTCTCGCATAATCCGAATTCAAGTATTTCATTAGAAATGTAACACATTTTCAATATTCATAAACAAGCGATAATGATATTCAAACTTATAATATTTGTTTGTTCTAGTAAACCTATTTCATTTTCTTCAAAGAAAATTGAATTACATCTTCAAAATACCCAATGGTTCTAGTTCTTTACTTTCACTAAAGGGTTTGCAAACAGAAATGCAAAATATGTAGGAGGTGAATAGTCACTCCTTTTCGTTCCAAAATTGGTGAAATTTCCCCTTTTCCACATGAATTTTGGCCAACAATTCTTGCAAATTTTATTTTACGTAATTAATCAGGACTTCGATACTTGCTTATTTATTGATAATT